AGCTCCGTGACTACTTATAGCCATCCAGTGAGTCACAGGTAGTAGTATCAGTAATAAGATGAAAAAATAGATCCAGAGCCATCAATCTAATGATGCAGTGACATTTCAAATACTTGTTAGAAGAGAAACTCAAAAATCTCTTATACATCTCATGGTGGCTTTTTCCAAAGACATTTTATAACCTACTGAGCATTTGCCTTACTTCATAGAACTATGATTTAAATGAGAAATAAACCAACCTAAACAACTTATGGAAGAATGAGCTAGAATATTGCAAAACAGGTAAAATGCTTAAGTTTCATTTAAGGAAGAAAACAATATTGTGCTTATGTAAACCTAAAGATAATAGTGAAAGGTAAAGTTGAACAGTGGGTTAGGGTCGTAGTTGTAATTATAATACATTTTAAACTCTTATGAGGCCTATAATCAGCTCATTATTTTAAAAATATGGTAAAATATTACTCCCAAACAGAAATAACTTGTGAGAAAAATCCTTAGTATGTGAAAGTGAAATCACTTGTAATTCTGATAAATATGCTCTGGTAGGGTTTTGTTAGCATTTCCTCACCATAGAAATATGGCATTATAGTTCATGGTTTTGTCTAGATCCCATGGTCATTATTATGATCAATAGAAGTATAGAGAAAGAAGCTGATTAATTGACTAAATTACAAAACTATTCATATGAGGAGAACAAGAAAACAGAAACAGTTGAAATTGATTAGAAACAATTTTTATTTAGTATGTTTTATTATTTATAAGTTAATATTGGTCTCAGAAAGTATATCTCATTAAAATATAATTTTTATATGTATTTCAATTTCAAGCTCCCCAGATAAGACAAAAATTCTGGTACTGCCATCATATATACTTTACATCTGAGGTGCTCATTATTTTTCCTTTTTTTTACTTCTGGCCTTAGATTTACCCTGAAATATAATTGAGGAGCTTTGATGCTGTGATGGCTTTTGATATTTGGAGACTAACATAAACATGGGAGAAATATTTTGATCATTTCAGTAAATTGTGAAATATCTTCATATTTTATGCCTGTCCACTAGGAAAGCAAAATCAAAGTGTTTACATAGTAAAAATCTGAGTATGAATTGATTATGTAGACAATTTGGATATGGCAATGACTCGTATTTCTTATGAATATTAAATATTTATGATTAAAGCAATTAAAATTTGTAAAATATTAGTGAATCTGTCTGTTTTAGAAATATGAAGTCTTGGGACATCTGGGTGGCTCAGTTGGTTAAGTATCCAACTTCAGCTTGGATCATGGGTTCATGGGTTCAAGCCCCACATTGGGCTCTGTGCTGACAGCTCAGAGCCTGGAGCCTGCTTTGGATTCTGGGTCTCCCTCTTTCTCTGTTCCTCCCTCATCTGTGCTCTGTCTGTCTCTCTCTCAAAAATAAATAAACATTAAAAAATTTAAATATATGAAGTCTTAATCAGATACACAGTTTCTAAAGGAGAAGATGAAGTGTCTCCTTCTCTCTGAGGAAGGTTAGAAAGAAAGAACAAGGTATGATGGCCTTATCATTACCTCCTGCCACCAAACCAGAATTACCTTTGAGACATCTTTGCATACATACAACAGAGTTTAAAAATGTGGTCTCAAATGGAGATGGGAGGGGAATAGTGTGAGAGGGAGGTGTGTGTGTGCTTCTCAATTATCTTTCCCCTTATTAATCTGGAGAAAAGAAGAGACATTTAGAATGTGAAGTTTCTTTTCAACTATACTTGAAGACAAGTACCTTCCAGGAACAGCTAGTTATGTTTTTGCACAGTCATTTATGTAGAATTTAGACAAGTGTCTGGAGAATGCCAGGGTATAGATATTGCCTTTCTTGACAGAGGAAGAGCGTACTGCTTCAGATAGAATTGGGTGTCCCAAGGACAGTCTGAGCTTCAGATCACTGCCTCCTCACATGAAAATTGGGCATTTTTTTAATGCAGGAATGCTCCAAGGGTTATTAGCTAGCATTTGATTTGGATGATTCTTTCCAGACTTCAAATTCTGTGCTTCTAATGGAATACCAGACTTATAAACTGTGATGTTTATCTCAGAGACTTATTTTTATAATAGCTTCAGAAAGACAAATTAGATTTATATTTATAACTCAAATAAATATTTCCCCAGAAGTCATACAATATTTTAACCGTAACATATACAATACTTTTAAAACAAAAGTTCAGATTTGGCTGTATTCTGTTAGCCTTTGTCCGTGTGGGCAGTGTATAATCGCCACTTTACTTTTGCTGCAGTGATTGGTGATGCTGGATTCCTTTTATAGAAGGAAGTTAAAGGAAAGTCAGAGCTACAGACATATAAGATACTCAGTTTCATAGAACAAAGTAGAGCCTAATTTCCTTCAACTTAACAAAGTCAAATAAACTTTCCAATATTTTGTATTCCTCAGTCTCACTCCTAGCTTTTGCTCTCTAGTGAGTTAGAGAATATTCCTATTTCTTGTTTAAGTGTATATTCTTTCCTTTAATACAGATCATATTATATTATTCAGCTGATGATGATTCCACCTTTTATGCATGTTAAATCATGTGTTATTCTCTATTTACACTAGAGATTGACCTTTTTTGAAATAATCTCTAGTTCAGTAGAGGTTATTATTCCCAAGTCTTTTTCCCTAGCCTGCCTTATTCTTCCTTCCCAGGAACTTCATTCAGTATGAGCTCATAATCTGGGTGTGGCTTACCTCTCTGATCTCATTCCAGATTATTCTTCTCCCAGCCCACTGTGCATAGATTCATTGACCATTGTGCTGTTCCTTGAATAAACTGTGGTGGTTCCAACTTGAGGAATTACAATAGCCTGGAATGTTCTTTACTCCTAATTGTGTTGTGACTAACAAATTCCAATCTCATTGAGATCTCAGTTTAAACTTTACTCCCACAGATAAATCGTCCATAAAAACCTAAGCGGAGTAGCCTTTACATATTTTCCTATTTAAACTTTCTGTAGATTGCTTATATTTATAGAGCACTTAAAAAATTGCTTCTGTTTGTCTATGCTCTTTCTCCTATACCAGAATGGATGATTCATTAAAATAGGTACATGGTCTGTTTTGCTCACCAATATCTCCAGCACCTAGAAGAAGACCTGGCACGTAATGCAAACTTAATAAATTTTGTTGAATGAACAAATAAGTGCATGTTAAATTGGCTGAGGGTGAACTCTTTCAACTCTATTATAACCAAAGCTTTTAGGAAAGTGTAGGTTTATCACCTTCCGTTCATTTCCTTCCATAATACAGTTTATAGAGATTTAGGGGAAACATGCCTGTATGTATTCATGTAAAAATTAATTAAAAATTAGTCACATTTTGGGCAATGAGGGGAGGGATATTTAGAAGTCAAAAGATCAGAAAAAAACATCATTGGCGTTAACCATTAAAGGGGGGATTTTGATTTTGATTTTCACAACTTTTTTGGTCTTGAAACTTGTTTCCTTCTTTGATACCTTTTTCATTTACACGATCTATCAAAATAGTATTGAGATTACCTTTTGCCCAGCTAATTTAGTACTCATCTATTATAATGAGTATAAATAAAAGGGCAATGCTAAACTTTGTTGTATTTGAGACTACTTATATTCTAAACTTTTTTTTTTATCATCATAGATGGATTGTTTGACAAATTTCTTAATATCATTTTTGTTTTCTGTAAGGGCTATCTGGTTTCTTGTGATTTGGGAGAGAACATGTATTTCATTCTTTTTTTTTTTTTTTATTTCTAGGAGAGAGAGAGAGACAGCGTGAGCAGGGGAGGGTCAGAGAGAGAGGGAGACACAGACTCTGAAACAGGCTCCAGGCTCTGAGCTGGCAGTCAGCACAGAGCCCGACCATGTATTTCATTCTTAATTTGCAAGTTTTATATGTCAAGAAAGTATAGTTCCACTTTATAAACTTACAGTGTTAGAAAGAGGATCATAAAATTTTCTTGCATTATTGAATTTCCTAGTTTCTCTCCTGACTGCTAAATGGTAGCCATATAGCTTTATAAATGTTTTTTAAATATGCATGTATGTTAAAAATAATTGTGTAAAACAAAATCTTTTTCCTGTATTTTCCTTTCTGTTAGTAGGGGCATTTATTATTATTATTCATGTTTACAACGCTAGTTGCAATTAGTGTAGAAAAATGTGTATCTCCTGTACCAATTCACCAGCAAAATAAAATCCTGTACTTAAATAGCTCTGCTCCTCATAGCATACAGTGTATGAGTGTTTTGTGAATTATTAAAAAATCATATGTTTACCATTTTATTTTTTCATTATTGTCTTGGTCTTCCATATTGATTCATTTATGTAATATGTACCATCTGTCAGTAAAATCACTGTGTATTTAAATGGCAAAAATGTATGTATCTCCTTTTCACCTTAATGTTCATCACAGATCTTAATACAGTATCTTTCAACAAAATGTAAAATGGCCTGAAACATATATATATATAAAACAATCCATGTAAATGTAACAACACAACAGACAAAACAAAATTAATAAAGAATAAATAAACACCTCTTTGAAACATTTGGCACCCATTATCTTTTCAAGCTTTTTGCATGTAAATACTTAGTTCAGTAACATTTTTATTTATACTTACAGATATTAGTGCCTATAATTTTATAGCAGAATGCTGTGAACCTATAAAATATAAACTTTATATTTTCTCAAGTAGCTTTCTCTTGAAAATTGTGTCTGATTTTCCAGGCACTGTTAGGGATTAGGATGAGGTGTTTGGCTTATTGCAGAGCATGGTTAGCTAGGACAGAACTGCACAGTCCGTATCACATTAGGGGCCAGGGGATGTGGTCGCCTCAGCTCCAGGGTTATCTGAGTGGGTCCTGGGGTGGCTGGAGTCCAGGGACTTTGGGCTGCAGCAGAGAGCAGCCTTGGGAATAGCCTCTAGCTGGGCTCCTCTGCAGCCTGCCTGAGCTGAGCGGAGTCTGATGGTGCGCCCTGCGGTCCCCGCAGGTGGCAAGCACAGTGAGCGACATCCAGCCCTCGCTGCCCCACTGCGACATGCCGAGCGCAGCCCAGGAGGCGCGCTGCCGCCCAGACATCTCCTTCAGCAGCCAGCGGCGGAGCGTGCCACTCCTCATCGTGGACAAGGGCCCCGTGGAGCTGCCCGAGGAGTTCGCGGTCCAGGTGCCCAAGGAGCCCAGAGTGCAGCCCAAGGTGCGGCCAGCGGCGGGGAAAGGGGGCTGGGGGTGGCTGGGCAGGGACTCCTGGAGGACTCGGCCCCAGGCGGTGCCCCAGATGTGTCTTCTCATTCATTTACTGTCTGCATCCACACACTGTGGCCGATTCAGTGGACTTGGTGGTATCCTAGCAGCTGTTGAACACTGCATGCTTGTTGGACAGTAGAGACTCCTCATTAAGGCAAAAGGTTTGACTTTAAGGTTTTGGATGGGTTTAAACTATCTGCATTATCACTGGAAGTTTACAATCACTTCTAGTGACAATCTAAACTACTGTAAGATGTGATGGTTGTAAAAGACACGTTTTAACATTTCTGATCATCTGCTTGTTTGAAAAAAATTCTTATCAATGGACACAAGCAGGATTTTGAGGAGAGTATGATGAACACTTCTTGGTTGGCAATTGTACATAGTCATTTGAAGCATAAAATCTGACAGAAAAGTAATGGTTATAGAAGCAACCTAATTTTCTTATAAGAATGTTGGAAATACTTTATAACATTGCCTTTGCAGCTGGCAAGTGCAGTGAATGACATCCACCCCTTGAAGTTCTAGTGAGAAATATTATATAATATTTGCTCAAAAGTCAATGCTATTCTTTCCCCAGATACTTTATTTTATCTTATGTAATCCTTAGGCAATGTAGTTCTTTTGGCTCACTAAACCCCATACATGCACTCTTATGCCTCTTATGTCCTTCAGGGAATATAACAGAATAAATATAATATGCAATATATATTCATTTAATATATATGCTATATAAGAAATACATATTTATATGTAATATATGTTAATATTTATCCATTTATGATATATATACAAATGGATACATTTATTAAATACAATATGTATATTTCACATATTGTATTGTATTTTATTATATTTATAATTTTCTTTGTGTGCTACAACATGAAAAAGGCTAGAAAGCATTGACTGGTGGAACCAGGAATATCAAGTCTCTTCCTAAAACAATGTCACTTCTCCTACCCCGCAAATTCTTCAAGGGGATAGTCATACAAAAACTACTGGTAAAGGAATGTGAAATACCAGTGTATTAGCTGAGCTTATCTTCTTACCCCTGTTATAGTATTCTTTGGTAAAGTAAGCTGGGATACTTTGTTTTCAGTTCAGGGACCAGGGGAGACGTATCATAAACTCATCCTAGACTTAACAGACTTGTGAGAATTAAATCTAACTCTTGAATTACTGCAGCCACATAGAACAAGTGACTTGGCACTCACGGTGGGTCTGTCTATTCAGTTATATTAGTCAATCAATGTTCTAGAATCTTTCCATTCAGGAGAACGTTTCTTCCTTGGTGTTGATGATTAGTAATGGGGGAGTACCTATGCTTCCACTGAAGTGTGTAAAATTGACTCTGGTGTGTTCAAAAAAATCAAGGAAGGTGTAGTAAATATTTTTTTTAAAAAATGTTTTAAAATGTTTATTTGTGAGAAAGACAGAGAATTTAAGGGGGGGGGGGAAGGGGCAGAGAGAGGGAGACAGGACTGAAGCAGGCTCCAGGCTCTGAGCTGTCAGCACAGAGCCCTACGTGGGGTTTGAACTCAAAAACTATGAGATCAAGACCTGAGCCAAAGTCATACACTTAACTGACTGAGCCACCCAGACGCCCCTAAATATTAAGAATAGTTTTTTCTGCTGTTTTGTATTACCATTTCAAACCTGAAATTGTCTAAATTGGATGCAGACATATTTTTCTCAGAATGTGCTTTAACAGTCGCAGACTTTTCCTCATTATGTCCTTGATTTATATTCTAAAATAATTATATATAATTAATATTGTTTAATTTATTCCAATGTACATGACATTCATCACAATTTCTAGTACTAGTGAAGAAGAAATCCAGAAATGAAGTTTAAGTTTTCAGTAAATATTATAAATGTTTAACTCAGCAACTAACATTAACATATACACATACTTGCTGGCAATTCAGTTTAGAGAAAAAAAACTCATAATATCAGTTAGAATAGTTTTTCTAGATAATTTTTACTAAGAAGTTGGTCGATTTTATTATTTTTTATTTTTTTTCATTTATTAATTATTGAGAGACAGAGAGAGACAAAGCATGAGCAGGGCAGGGGCAGAGAAAGGGGTAGATACAGAATCCGAAGCAGGCTCCAGGCTCTGAGCTATCAGCACAGAGCCCCACACGGGGCTCGAACTCCCAAACCGGGAGCTCATGACCTGAGCTGAAGTTGGATGCTTAACCAACTGAGCCACCCAGGTGCCCCAATTTTATTTATTTTTAAAGTTTATTTATTTTGAGAGAGAGAGCACGAGCAGGGGAGAGTCAGAGAGAGAGGGAGGCGGGACCCCAAGCTGGCTCCATGCTGTCAGTGCAGATCCTGATGCGGGGCTTGATCCCACAAACCAGGAGATCATGACCTGAGCTGAAACTAAGAGTTATGCTTAACCAACTGAGCCACCCAGGTGCCCTTTGAAATTGGCCAATTTTAAATGTTCCCCAACATTAATAGCTTAATAAGATTTTTCTATGGTATTAGCTTTTACTTTTTGCCACATATATAGCAGGTTACAGTGTAGTAATGGGTTTTAAATGATGCTTTTCTATCAATTTATGAATAAGAAAATTTCATTATATTTTGCTTTGGACAGAAAAGTTATGGTATAAGGCAAACTTCATGTGATGTCATAAATAGAGACCGAGGTAAACATTCTGTGATTTTAAAAATTGTGTGATTTTAAAAAGGAGACCCTTTTTAAAGGGTCATAACCCTTTATGAAGGTCATAACCCTTTATGAGATAGTATATTTTGAAAGTTGCCTTGTGCAAATGTAGTTTTATCATTGAGACCAAGAGTAACTGAAGGTCATCTTCTAGTGCTCCCTATAGAAATAATAAAGAAAAATGAGTAAATATTACAGGGGCATAATCTTTCCTGATATAGAAGATAATACATACAGTTAGGGCAGGTATTAAAAGTGAAACTGAAATAGGGGCGCCTGGGTGGCTTAGTCGGTTAAGCGTCCGACTTTCGCTCAGGTCATGATCTCGCAGTTCGTGGGTTCGAGCCCCGTGTCGGGCTCTGTGCTGACTGCCAGCTCAGAGCCTGGAGCCTGTTTCCGTCTGTGACTCCCTCTCTCTCTGACCCTCCCCTGCTCACGCTTTCTCTCTTTCTCCTAGAAATAAATAAAACATTAAAAAAAAAATTAAAAAAAAAGTGAAACTGAAATAAGAAATATGATATTTTCTTGAGTCTTCAAGTTGAAAAGATAAGGAAGAAGGCAAACAAGAAAATGCCAGCCTTCCCTTTCTACCCCCCTCTACCTTTCTCAAAATAAAAACAACAGTCTCTTACAGAAAACTCAGAAATAAATATAAATAATAAAGATTGATATTAATGTAACTTTTATTGAAAAATCAAATTGATATTCATTTTAAAAATTACTAACCTTTGTATTTTTTCTATAGGTAGCCTCATAAACAACTAGAAACCCAACAAAGCAACCTTAACAACGTAAAAACAAAAGCAAAGGCCACAAAACACCCCCAAACCTTTTGATCAGTTAAAAATTAAACTCTGTCATTGTTTAAATTTTATATTCATTTGACTCAGGATAGCTAATCACAATTCTTAAGAGTTAACGAGTGTCTGGATTCCTAGGAATTAGGACTTCACAGCAGAACAGCAAAGCATAAAGTGTTTAAAAACATTGTTCTCAGAAGACATGTTTCTCCTTAGCGTATTAAGGCAGAAGGAAGTCTGAAGGCAGATTGCCCAGTTAATGACTAGATCTCAAGACTTTTCCTTGAAGGCAAAGGAATGTTAACGCATTTTTTATCAACATCTTCTTGCTTTACTTGTGATTTTCATGCAGATGCATAAAAAGTTCCTTGAGATGATAGACCAATAACCCTCCTGCAAACCACACATGTAGTGTGCAGAGTTCATAGGAGTGTCCTCTCAGAACACAGCTAAACCATTTCAGTCCTGACAAGTCATAAAAACTCTACCCTGTGCTCATTTTAAAACTTACCTTTCTTAAGTGCCAAAATGCTTTTACAAGGGACTTGTGTATTCTATCAGTTCGTTTGGAGAATCACATCAGACTCTACCATCATTTTCTTTTCTCTTTTTCCCCACTCTTAGGTCTTTATGTTTTTAAAGGGGAATGCTTTTATGATGATTATAAGCAAGTAGAATACTCCATTTTATTGTTTTGTTACTTTAAACAAAAGTCGGCCTTTAAAATTAGTCTGAATTACCAAATACTGGCTATTCCATCGTTGATTCTTGCCCTTATTTATTTTTTCAATGACATTGGATTGAGTGTAAATGATGCTGGGTATTGCACTAAGTGCTAGGAAGACACAGATAGGAAACTCACATACTTTGATCCCTCAGTGAGTATTGGGACACAGTAAGAGAGTACAGTATGGCAAATGCTTGCTCGATAGAGGATACTTCTCCCCTGCAATCAAAGAGACAAGAACCTTGATTGTAAACTGATAATAAGCACGAGATTTGACCTGCACATGTTTGAGGGGAAGTGCTAAATGTCGGAGCAGAAATTCTATGGAGAAGTGGTTAAAGATCTGATCAGAATGTCCTGATATAACGTTATGCAGAGTTCAGAATTTTTCTGATGGCAGGGAGGGAACAATTAAATTAACCTTAGACAAATTAAGCAAAGACTGACCTGCTGCTCTATTTGAACAATGAACTAGAAAGTGGCTTCAATACTGGAGATAGGAAGGTTATTCTATTACAAGTAAGAAATAATGGTGGCCCTGATCGAGGAGTGAGTGCCATTAGTGACAATGAGTGATCAATTGTCAGGAGTTAGAGATTAATGGAACATGAGACTAGGCCAGAGAGAAAACTCAAAGGACAAACAGGTTTCTGGCTTAAAAACCAGAAAGCGGGGTGCCTGGGTGGCTCAGTCGGTTGGGCGTCCCACTTCGACTCAGGTCACGATCTCATGGTCTGTGG